TACTATCAAGACTATCTACTGTGATGGTGAATTTAGACCAGTTTTTGATGATGTTAAAGATGAGATGAATGTTGATATGAATTATGCGAGCCGGGGGGAACACGATCCCACGGCGGAACGAAACAACCAACATATCAAGGCGTTGTTCTGTGTCCAATACCATTGCATGCCATATAAGGCCATTCCAGGATTATTGCTGAAGCTATTGCCAAACGAGTTGCACAGACTTCCAACTCTTACCCCGTCAAAGGGGGTATTTTGGCTTATTACAGTCCTCATATGATTTTGTTGCGACGCCAAGTTGATTACTTGAAAGAATTTGTTGCTGAACTTGGGTGGTATGTCCATGGTTATGGACATGATACTCGCAGTGATCATCAGTCACGCACTATTGAAGCAATTTACTTGGGACCAGCTGATAATATGCAAAAGGGTCACAAGCTATATGATTTGAACACGAAAAGAGAGGTGACTAGGCCTCAAATTCCGGTGCTCCCAATCACTGATCAAGTGATCAAATTGGTTGAAGCCCATGCTGCTGAGGAAGGCGTTACAGATTTACGAACCTATTCCAGACGCAATGGAGAAATAATTTTGGATGCTGATCTGCTTGCAGGAGTGGACCCAGATGAACTGTGGGACGAAGACTATGTACCTGCAGATATTGAGATTCCACCTGTCGATGACATGAATTTGCGCAAGAATGATGCAATCTCCGATGAAGAACTCGAAGAATTAATGAAGGATGCAGCTGAAGATATATTGGAATCTAGAAGAATTGATGATAAGAGACAACACAAATATGATGAGGCAGATAGAACTGTCCACCGCATGCTGCAAATAATTAAAAGACGTCAAGAAGAAGACGATGAAGAGGATATGGATTTTGTGCAGGATCAGCAACCTGAAAGCGATATTGAAATGGATATTGATGATGAAGAATTAAAAGATATGATTGATGAAGTAGCCCGTGAGTTGGATAGATTGAGCCAACCCATTGAAGAAGAAATAATGTTCAGCGTTGAAGATGATGACGATGACTATGAGGGTGAATATGATGCGGAAGAAATAGAAGAACTGCAAGAAGCAGAAGACGAACTGCAAGTATATCCTGATGAGGAAGATGATGTTTGTGCAGGAGTGAGGTTTGAAGAAGTCCCCGTGTTGAGTACAACAGATGATTCAAATAAAGACAAGAAAAGGAGAACACAAAGTGGACGATCATTTTATTCAAACGGAGTCAAGTATTGACCCACAGATAGGAATCGAACTGACAGACCAAGACATGGTCAGACGTACTTACAACAAAAGAAGCCCAAGATCAATTTGTTAAAGAACAGGAGTGCCATGAGAAAGAAGGCACGGTTGAAGAGATTGCATATCTCATTATACCAGGCTATCGTGTCAAAGGTAAAATCACAAAAGAAAGGAGAGTTTCAAGATGACAACGTGTTGAGCGCTGAAGCAGGAAGAAAGATAACCGAACGGGCGCATAACTTGATGTTCCAGCAGAGTGGAACTGAGAAGAAAGCAACTTACAATGTGGATGAGGCGTTGGTGATTTCACGCGTCATGCAACAGATTCGTGACGAGGTGTACACAAGGGATGGGGTGTCATTTATTCAGCAGCATTATCTTAACAAAGGATTAAAGATTTTCAAAGAACGGGGAAAAGAAGCTGCACTCAAGGAACTTGATCAACTGATCAAACGAAGTTGTTGGACACCCATCAGCATTGGTGAATTGACTGAATCCGAGAAGAGGAAAGCAGTCGATGCAATGATGTTACTGGCAGAGAAAAACAGTGGTGATATCAAAGGTTGTTTTGTATATAAAGGAAATGAGACAAGAGACTGGCTGTCTCAAGAGGACACAGCTAGCCCAACCACATCGCATGAAGGTATCTGTTGCACAGGAGTGATTGACGTGCACGAAGGTAGATGCATGATGTCAATGGACATTCCGAATGCATTCATTCAGACCTTGATGCCAGATTTAGGTGACGGAGAAGATCGGGTGATCATGAAGGTAACTGGACTGATGGTCCAATATATGATCAATTTGGACCCGACCTATCGCGATTATGTTGTTTATGAGAATGGCAAGAGCGTGATCTATGTTGTGATCCTTTGTGCCATATATGGGATGTTGCAGGCCTTGTTGCTGTGGTATCGAAATCTGAGAGCTTCTCTAGAGGAGTATGGCTTTGTTTTTAATCGATATGATCCCTGCATTGCCAACAGAATGGTTAATGGCAAACAATTGACAATCAGGTTCCATGTTGATGACATTTTGGCGAGTCACATGGAACAACAAGTACTTGAAGATTTTTCACATGGGTGAATGAGAAATATGGTGGCTTAAAAGAGGTCACATGTACTAGAGGTAAAGTTCATACTTATTTGGGTATGACATTGGATTTTTCGAAGAAAGGAAAAATGAAATTTCGCATGGATGATTATGTGGATCGCATGCTGAGTGAGTTTCCAGTCAAGTTTAAGGACAATGAGGTCCAGGAGACAACAGCCGGAAATAACCTACTGGAGAAAGGTAAAGGGGCACCGCTTGAGAAGGAACGACATGAAGTGTTCCATTCATTTGTTGCCAAATCGTTATTTTTGTCCAAACGTGCTTGTCTGGACATCAGTCCGACAGTATCGATTTTAGCATCAAGGGTGCAATCTCCGAATCTGAGTGATTGGCATAAACTAGTACGATTGATGAGATACATTCATTCTACAAAAGGATGGCATCTAACATTGAGCGCTGATGATTTGCGCGTGATTAAGTGGTATGTCGATGCATCATTTGCTGTTCATCCAGACTTCAAAAGTCATACTGGAGCTGTGATGACAATGGGCACTGGAGCAGTGCAAGCAATTACACAAAAGCAGAAATTGAATTGTGACAGCAGTACACATGCTGAACTAATTGGAGTCCATGATGCAATGTCAACTATTTTGTGGACCCGCTTATTTATGGAAGAACAAGGTTACCCAATCGAGAAGAATATACTATACCAAGATAACAAGAGTTTGATCCTACTTGAAACGAATGGGAGATCGAGCGCCGGAAAAAGGAGCCGTGAGCTAAACATCCGGTATTTCTTTGTGACAGATCAAGTCAAATTGGGCAACATTAGTATTGAACACATGCCAACTGATGAAATGTGGGCAGATTACATGATAAAGCCTTTTCAGGGCAAAAAGTTTCGCAAATTCCGGGCTGTAATTCAAGGTGACCAGGATTAGTCCTGATGATCAATCTTGGATATTTTACTTATATTGAGAAGTAATTTTTTCGTTCCATCCACTGGAGTCGCTGGTGAAACGACAGGAGTGTGTTGGAGGTATTGATATACTGAGCAATCATATTGGTGGATTATTGATCAATGGTCTATGTGACATGACGCGGCAGTGACGTGAGTGTCGATCATGCGTAGTATGAAATGCAGTATGCCCAAACGAGTCATCATGTAGAAAGGTGATCAAGAATGAGAATCGTGAGAATTTGTAATATTATCCTGAACGTCAATCGAGAGTCTCACTATCGATTGAGTTCTGGCAAGAATAATATTGTGGACATTGAGGTCCAGCAAGTATAGGAAATAATAAAGTAAGACCTTTGATTGAATAAGACTACTGCTTATTCCAGAGGCTGAGGCCCAGAGTCGCTGGTGCTCAAAGGCAGACCATAGCCGACGTAGATTCGATCTCAGGGACTGCTCATTGAAACAGACAGGGCGTTGAGGCTCCCATTCAGGTCTGTAGAGCAAGTCCATCTGACAGGCGGTGGGGGTGGTGGTGGCGGCAAAGGTTTGTTGGAACCACCAAGTATGACAGCTTTAGCAGCTTCAGGAAGTTGATGCCAGGCACGTCAACCTTGATCATCTAATTGTTGCCACAGTTCGTTAGGTAGAAAGGTCTTGCAAGCAGATGACAAAGACGTGCGGTAAGCATAGTAGTTGCCAAGGTCCATGTCAATGTTGAAGTCAAACATGGGAGGGCCAGGATCTGGTTCAAGATCACCAGTGGTGACAACATCAGTAGCATATGCCTTCCTAGGATTGGCCTTGGGCTTGGATCCTTTGGTGACCTCATCATGGTTTTGGGCTGCTGCCTCCAGGAGTGACGCATACTCGTCAAAAGTAAGTGGTCTGTTGTTGTTCTGCAAGGCCAATTGTTCGCTAGTGTCGAACACGTTGCAACGGTATGGCACAAGTCTGACAGCAAAGTACATCAGGTTGAGGGTCACCGTTAGCATCATGTGGCTGACTGACAGGATACTGTAGTCCGTCAATATCAGCATCATCCATGCCAACAAGGTCAAGGTAACATTTGCAACCATACAAGTCAAGTGCGAGATGAAGAATACTGCCAGCACTGTAGCCAAAGACAGTTTCCAGGATGTACACAAGACTAGTTTCAAGATGTCCAGGTTGTAGGACTCGAGACAGGTTGCGGTTTGTTGTTGAGTTGCCAGCAGTGGACATTGTCACTCGTGTGCCTGATGGTTGAGTAGTACTAGTGGCGGGTAGTTGAGTGATGTTGGTGTCAATGTTCAGAGCTTGCAATTCTCTTTGACCGATCTGGACCATGCAGGAGTTGACTCAGAGGAATGAAACTCAGTCGACTCAGTTGATCAGAAGATCAGTTGACTGGTTGGAGTCAGATGATGGTCGAAGTAAAATTGAAACAACACGCCTGAAGGTTTGTTTCCTGATGTGCTGGTGTAGGACTGCAGGATTGGGTGCACAACTGCCCTTTCCAGGTCGTTTTCCTTCTTGATTCGCACCAAGAAGGTGATCTCTCGCTTTTGAGACTTCCACCACAGAAGCTATTCAATCAAAAGGAGAAATCGGATCCCTTGCTCCGTTGAAAACTCCTGACGACAAGAAGGAGGTGAACAGGGGCAGCACGAGCTGGCAAGACTCAGCGCTTTCTTGAATTAAAACACTCCAAATCGAATGGCAAGGGCGATAGGGCCGCTCAATGCCAACACTCCACAATAAGCCGAAAAACTCCGAGTCGTCGTGGGACCAAAACTTGAAAAATAACTCGTTGCCAATTGTTGACAAGTTCTTGACTCAAACTGAAAAATATGGGTATGAAAAACCCCAAAGAATTATTCAATTCGAGCGTTGGTAGAGGATGGGCTTGACGGGAGCCCAAAGAACTTGCGAAACGCTGAAAATCAATCCGCGAGTTGTTGTGTGGTTCGTCCTTTTTGGTGGGAAGACGAACTCCAAAATGTGGATTGTCCTCGTCTTTGATGGAAGACGAGATCGGCGAATTTTTGTAGGAAAATCGCTGCAGTCAGCTGTGTGCGCGACTGCAAGAATATGAGCTTGATGGAAGCTCAGTAACTTGCGAAAACGCTGTGAAATCCGATCCGTAAGTTGTTGTGTTTTCGTCTTCTGATGTGACGTACTCTCTACAGACCGTTGGTCATCCGGCCAGACTTCCAACGTACTTCCAGCAGACGTTACATCTTATGCTCTTTTTAACAGACGCTTTTGTTATACTCCTATCGGTTACTCAATATTCCAGGCCTAACTATTATTGGCCCTCCTAAGTACTCTGATTGTTTCTGAATATTTCAGCACTGTTACTGAATATTTCGGACCAAAGCTTGGCCAAACCAAGACTAGATAGCGCACCTAAAACCACTATTCTAATGCTCACAATTTCATTATCAACTGATATCAAATCCCTTTGATCTAGGTTAAGTCATAGTGAATTCACTTCGCGAAGATCTATTGATCATCCCTTTTACAGTCCACGAATTGAACCAAACTTACTCAACATCATGAAAGTTATCATCAACGGTACTGCCTTGGAGCAGAACCCAAAGCACGATGCTCCAATTCCTCTTTACAAGGAAGTATCCAAATGGGACCATGAAGCCAAAGCCAAAATCAAACAAAAGATCCAACGCAACCCTCAAAACGCAACACCAACCTACGAAAAGGAATTCACACCTTGGGATGGTGATACGGTAGAAGACTACTGTCAATTCAGATTTACTTGGAACGAACTCAAAGTCGGACAAGCCCTGAATGCTCCTGGAAAACACCACACGATTCTATCTATTCTCTCCGGTCAAGCAAAGGAGAATTGGCAAACAGCGGTCTCTCAACTTCCAGACAATCAGCAAACGACCCAACAGGGTTTCGACACAGCTATGGAAAGTTTTGCCCTCTGCTACTGCACTTCGGATGCTCGTCAGAAGCAACGTCGCTTCATCAACAAAGCTTTGAGATTGCCCAAGAATATGTCGATCCGAGTCTTCTGGAACAGACTACTTTTCATGTTCCGATGCTACCAACATCTCCCTGGAACTGGTACAACACCAACACCAGAACATCGACATGAAATTTTGATCCAATGTCTACCTACAAGTGTCGAGAATGATATGACGAGAGGTGACTACCGTTGGGACGATCCTAACAAAACGGACATCGATCTTATCAACTATTTGACTCGTCTCCAAACCATTGGTTTCTCGGAAACAAGGTCCATTCCAACGAAAACAACAGTTACGAAGAAGAAAGGCTTCACATTCTATGGTCACACGAAGACCAATGCAACAACAAGAAGAAAGATCTTGCTAACAACAAAGAAGAAAAACACAACATTGAACCAATGGACGTAGAAAACGAGAACGACGTGACTACTTGTTTCGGCTTTTCTATGTCTAAGAAAGAAATCTCCAAAAAAATGTTCAACGAAGGCAATTCCAACGCTAAGGAAATGGCCTCACTATGTGACGAAGAGCTCACTGAGTTCCTAAATATGGACGACAACGACAATGATGACGTTAAACTAATTATGGAAAAACCGATTCCTAAAAAGAAACAAAATCCTAAGTCTCCTAAGAAGACCAAGAAGAACGCAAAGGAACAAGCCCTTGCCAAGGCTGACAACGTAAGTCAACTATTTGCAATTTTAAATGCCAAAACAAGAAATCCAAAACTCACTGACAACCGCTCTATCTCCGATCTTACTACGACAGTAAAGGTCACGATTAAGAGTAGTGAGAGTAACAAAATTAAAGTATTACATGTATTGATTGACACTGGCTGCTCCAAAACAATCATCAAACGAAATGTCATTCCAGACTCAATGTATAGCAAAAATCATGTAGCAAAAGAAACAATTTGGTCGACCAACGCTGGTACTTTTACAACCAAGTCTAAATGTAACGTCACATTCTGTATTCCAGAGTTCACCTCAAGTCGTGAAATAACCTTCCCAATGCATGTGGACGAAAGTTCATACTCTAGCTACGACGTGATCATTGGACGTGATCTACAAAACTCACTAGGCATTGACATCCTTTGGTCCAAACAATCGCTAATGTGGGATGGAATTTCAGTTCCCATGAAAGGTTACACAGAACGTTCTGATGAAAACGAAGACGAACTTCAAACCATGTTTGAAGAGATCATGGAAATAGAACACTATCGAAGATAGCCAACTGGCGCCTTCTTTTTGGGTTCTTCTGCTTGGTGTTTTCTTGGAGTGACTCTGGTGGGTTGTGGTGTGAAGCTGGTCCTTTTGAGTTGCGCGCGAAGCGTGCGACTCAAAGGACCAGTCTCAGATTTCCCGTAAGACGTGAAA